ACTGAAAATGGAGCTACCATATGCCCCAGCAATTTTACTCCTAGGGATCTACCCAGAGGACACAAAAACATTAATTCAAAAGGATACCTGAACCCCTATATTTATTGCAGCACTATTTATTATAGGTAAGATATGGAAATACCCCCAAATAGAAGACTGGGGGTCAAGAAGATGTGGTATACACACACACACACACACACACACACACACACACACACACACAAAGGAATATTATTCAGCAAGCAAAAAGATAAACTCATGCCATTCGCAGCAACACGATTGGAGCTTGAAGGGATCATGCTCAGTGAAATGTCAGAAGTAAAAAGAAAAATATCACATGGTTTCATTTATAGGAGGAATATAGGGGAATCAAATAAGGGATCAGTGGAGAATAAGTAATAAAAACAAAACAAAACAAAACAAAAATTAACAGGCAACTATAAATCAGGGATATTCTGCAGGGGAAGGGGCGGGAGAGGGATCAAAACAGAAGAGTGAAGAGCACAAGGGACTGTGTTGATGGTGCATTAGGGATTGACTTGGTGGTGGGAATTCTATGGGGACTGCACCTGAGAAGAGAAAGCAAACATTGTACACAAATGAACAATGTTGTAAAACATATATAAATAAATTATATTAAAAAAAACATACAAAAACCAAAATTGCCAACTTTCAAAAAATCTTTCCCAGTATTAGTACAAGTCCAGAAACATGCCATACATTCACTAAAAATTTGTGCACTGACTTATTAAAATGCCTGAATTTCAAAAATACTAAAGGGAAGGGACATTTGGGTCTGTGGATAACTTTCACAGATGTCTCAATGAGTAGATTATGCCATCAAGGACTGTGGCCTCTGCACACAAGGCCTGTGCTTGGCTCCCAAGGCCTCTGCTCAACACATGGACACATGCTGATGCTCGTCCAGGATATTCACCTGACTGCAGCTGTGCTTATCGTACAAACATCCACCTCATATAAAAGCACTGAACTTTTGTAAGGGTGAGTGACCACGTGTACCATTGATGTCATGTTTAGTTCTTACAACGGCTCCCCAGCCATATAATTCCTCTGTTCTTATATTTTCCCTCCGTATATGGGTTTATGCTATTGTCACTCCACAAAGGGCAACCTGCCCTGGGTGGTCTGACTGAGCTCTGTAAAAAGTGGGAAGAGGAATTTCTATACCCCCTTATTGATTGGGAAAAGAAATTTCTTCCCCACCAGTAGTTCTAGAAAAATCTAGAAAAAGACCCAACGTAGTCAAAGGAAAAGCACATAGTTCAATTTCACACAGAACCCATCTGTCCATGTCAGCCATGGTAGGTAACTGGATAATGGGGATTGGACAGTCAGCAGAGGGTGTCCCTTGAAAAGAACCAGATCACATTGTATTTGTCTCTAAGGACCATCCTTGGAAACTGGCCATGGCACTGAATCAGTGTGAATTTCTGAAGGTGAAGTCACAAATTTGATAATGAACACACATATGAGAACTGTCTCTAAAGGACACAACGAAAAGGGTCAGCGTCTGCTGGGAAGGGAGAACATTCAAGGAACGTGGGTTCTTTGGCCCAGCACCGTCTTCAGGCTTGGGACTTGGATTCTTCCTCTCTCCCTCCTTCTTCTCTCAGTCTCTCTCGCTGTCTCTGCCTACCTCTCTCCCTGTCTCTCTGTTTCTTTCATTCTTTATTCATTAATTTAAAGAAAAAAACACCATCATGGGTGGTATGAATTCTTTCCAGTTTGGAGACTATATGGGCATTTGGAAAGAATGTGGAATTTATATAATATGTAAAAATTTCATCTAAGTATGTAAGAAAAACACTTGAAAACATACTAAATTTTTAATAGGAAGGATGGCTGGATTATAGAATTTCAAAAGATATTTTTTCCCCTACGTTGCTTTTCTTTCATTGCTTTTTCTTCACGTTTTCTAACACTAGCATGTATTTTATAGTCTGAAAGGAATAGTAAAAATACACTGGTTAGATAGAACTAGATTTTAATAATTGTTCTAATCAAACAAGTGACATCCTCTTTGATCCTCATATTTCATATGTAAATTGACATGAATGTTTACTTAACTAATAGTGCTATTTAAGGACTGAATTGGCACAGTATGGTTATCCTGTGAATTTTAGGCTCTTAAAGTGAATTGTAACTCACAGGAGTGTAAAGAGCATAGTCTCCCGGCGAGCAAGCCCAATAGAAACAACGTATATTTGAGGCAGGCCCTCATATTTTCCCGCGCCTCACCTACATTAGGCAGGTGCTCTCTTAGGTTCGGGGCTATAGCAATAAACAAAGTATTGTCTTGCCCTTGTGGGACCTACAATATAGATTTTCCATTATGGGTAAATCAAAGCTATTATCAATCCTCTTTTCCCTTAACTTAGTGCTTCCAGAGATAGGCCGGCTGTACCTGAGGCACAGAGACAAGCGCTCTGATCTACGGCAGTGCTTCTCAGAGGAGGAACGCGGGGGTGTGCGCTGCTGAACAAGGACTCGAGGTCTCTGCTAAACACTGTTTGGTACAGGAAACAAGCAATCATGGGAAACCCATGGAAATGGTGGAGATTCATAAGCCAATGAAAAATAGGAAGAACTCGCCAAACTGTTCCGAACATTGTTCTGACTACTCATGACATTTTACATTATCACCACCATGTTCAGAAATATAATAGATGGAATCTGGAAAGACTTACTTTCTTTACTTCAGGTCCTACTCATTGCAATATAGTTTAATATTTCTTTTCAGGAAGACTGTCACAGCACAAGACATTCAATATTGTTTGTTGAATAAAGAAGTAAAATTAAAATTTTTGGTACTTGGCCGTGTTTATTTACCATTTCAGGCTCTTCAATTTCAGACTCTTCAAGGTGGTTATTATTAGCCTCAGATTAGTAGTAAGTGAACGGAAGGTTGAGGGTTGTAGATTATGCAAACTTCCCCATAATAAATAGATAGCACACGTTTGCAGTAAAAATAAAATCCATTGCATGACCACATAACTCCTTTGTCACACATACTGTGAATGAAAGTGGTTTATGACATTGGCTTATGTCTGCAGGGGAGGATATAACATGAATTGGGAATCTTTTTTTTTTTATTTATACATACAAGAACTGGGGTACAGGCCCGAGGAGTGGGGGATGAGAGGATTCACCAGAGACAGAGTGGGGAACAGAACAGGCAGACGGACCAAAGTACACTGCTGAGGGGAGCAGCGGGTGAGACAAGAGAGGTCTGTTGCACCATGTGGGTAGCTCCCTGGCAAGGGATTGAACTGGTGCAGCAGTGGCTGCAGATAGCTTCATAGGCTGTGTTTTAACCCCTTGTGCCACCAGGGAGGCACTGAATTGGGAATCTTAATGGCAGTAACTGGCAGATCCATTCTTACCAGTAGAAGACATTTGCTTTACTATTGACAAGTGATAGTTATGTCACCCATGACCTGCTATGCTCTATGAGCCACATGTAATTGGTGGGGGTGAGCCTGGGAGAGGCTCCATGCTACTCATTCATTCCATTCTCCTTTCCTGAAAATTGAGAACTAGTTAATGGGTCAAAGCATTTCTGTTATGTTTGTATGCTGGAAATTTCATTGATGGTTTGATTTTTTGGGTATGTTAATACAACCAAGTTGGTGACAAGGAAATCCTCTTAATGCTCCCTTCTGAGGGAGAGTCTGCTTCTAAAATACATTGACATATTTAATCTAAGACATTAACAATTTCATTAGCTAAACTTGGAATTCTGGATGTTCTCCCTGGAACTCCTACTAATATTCACCATGAAGGCTCAGAAAAAGCCTGAAAAGAAAGACCTACATTGCTGGGTTTTGGGGTGATCTGTACTAATTGTGATTCATATTTACTTCCTGCTAATTGCTAAAATATATTTATCTGTACAATTTTTAGTCTTCCATGCATCTTGACCTCTCAAACTAAATTTTGCTATGGTCTTTCTTTTTTTACTAATTGAGAATAAATGCTTAGTGATAATTCTCTTCCACAAGTATAATATATACTCCTTCTCCTAATGTGAATAAATATGAAAAAGGAAACAGGGGGAGTCATTCTCAAGAAACAGTCCCTTCTTCTTTCCTCTGCTGGGTTCCTTTCCAGATTTCATTTTCTACAGAAGAGCTTTTTTGGTTTGCCCTAGTGTCTTTGGGGATTCTGTCCCTTGCCTTCTGCACTGGACTCACACTTCCTGTACAGATACCTTTGATCACATGAAGGAGGCTGAGCCCCTCTCTCTCTTTCCCTGGCATAGAGACTTGATTACAATGAACTGCAGACCTGCCTGTGGTGAGGCAGGCCTGATGGATGCAAGTCCACAGTGGGAGGCCAGCATCCTGAATGCAAAGAAGGCAGGAGGGCTTTCTCCACTCAGTTAGCTGGTATTTGACACATCTCTGGCTCATCTTGGCACAGCCAGGGCACTTAATGAAAACAGTATTTCCCTTAACAAGACTTGGTGGTGCCCAGAAACTTAGATTTTTCTCCCAAACCTATAAGTCCTTCTCCACCTCCCAAAACAAAACCTAGACAAATGGAAAAGTTTCTTTGCTATTTTCTCATGAACTTAACTTTCACAAATAAACTAAATAGAATTGATTGTGAGTTAGCCACAGTGTAATAGGTATGCATGTGTGTGTGTATAAACTTGCTTATGACAGTCGAACATTTGTTACAAATATAAATCAATAAATAGGTAGGTAGATGATAGATATATACTCATACATGCATAGACAGATAATATAACAAGCACTTATAGCTACCTAGATTATCTTGTTTCAAAACCTGCTACCTACTGTTCAAACATTTCAAAATATGCTATTGTTTCCTCTAACCTGAATAAGGGCAATATATACCATAGGAATGCTCAAGTGACCTCCATGTGATACACTTGGATGATAGGGAACTGAGACCCATTACCAAAGGGATTTCCTAGAGTGTGACCCAGGAGGGAAGGAGCAGTCTATCCCTACCTAAGTTGAGGTGAAGGGCTAGCCTCCCCTTCTGGAGCTCCAAGGTGATGTGATCCCCGCGTTGACCCTCTCCATGGAACAGGACTCCATCTCCTTGCATGCTCTTGAACTTCAGAGAGATCACATCTTTAAGAGTGCTCATCAGCTTCTGATTGAACCTGTACAGGAGGGAGCTCCGGCCATCAAAGTCAGCAACATCCGATTCTGAACACAAAAAGAGAGGGGCAAAAAGGTGAAGTCTTTCTATTTAATTGCTCTATTTCCCATCTTAGTTGTTCAATTCATAGGATTGCTCTTAGCATCTGGAAGGTCCCACCTCAACAGGAATCATATATAGTAGACCCAATTTAATTAGACTTGAGAGAATCATTCATTCACAGGTAACTCCCACACACTGAGTCAAAATGAACTGATCATCAGCCCCAAAGCAAAACCTCTCTTTAGTGATAATATCAGCTTTTGCCTGAGGGACAGGGTGAGGATACCATCAGCACTGATTCAGGGCCCTACTGATTCAGATGCCTAGTTGTAACTATTCCTTTGATGTAGCTTCTTTATTAATTTGTTTCTGAGAGTTAAAGCCACTGGTACCCTCATTTCAGCCTCAAGTTTAGAGGCAAAGAATAAAGTTTATTATTCCACCTCTAACTCAATAGCATTGTCTTTCTCAAACCCTGTGTTGAAAAGGATGCTGAGCTTTCTCCTGGGTTCCACAGAAAAGAAAGACAAAATGAAAAAAAACAGTCAGTAAAGGAAGATTTATTGAACACAGAATATACATTTATTGCATCCTTATTATCCCTGTTTTATCTTGTGTTAATAATAGGTATCATTTTGATTTTCAATGTATGAAAATGTCCATTCATCATTGTGAAAGCAAGAACAAAAGAATGTAAAATAGTTATGATTTAGATAAGCTAAAACAATAGATGTATATAATATATATAAAATATCTGAAAATTTTATGCCAAAAATTAATAGGGATTTTTCACCTCACCACAGAATATACATATATATATGTGTGTGTGTGTAGTTTGAATATATATATATATATATATAAAACTAAGTACATAAAAAGATTCTTCAGATCATATGTTATCAGGGAAAGCAACAAGGTACTATAGCATACTTATTAGGATGGTTTAAATCTGGAACACTGTCAACACCAAATGCTGGCAAGGATGAGAAGCAAAAGGAATTCTATAGCAATGTGGGTAGAAATGTGAAATGGAAGAGCTACTTTGATATACAATTTGGCTATTTCTCTAAAACACTAAATACATTTTAGCCATATTATCTAGCAACCTCCTTTCTTGATATTTACCCAAAGGAATTGAAAATATGTCCACGTAAAAGCCTGCATATGGATATATGCAGCAGCTTTATTCATAGTTGCCAAATCTTGGGAGCAATCAAGATGCCCTTCAGCAGGTGAATGGAATGTGGCACATTCAGACAATGACATATTACTCAGCATGAGAAGAAAGAGCTATCAAGTCATGAAAAGATACGAAGGAAATTTCACTGCATATTACAAAGTGAAAGAAGCCAATATGAAAAGCCTACATACAATTGATTCAAACTACATGATATTCTGGAAAAGACAAAACTATGAGGATACTAAATAGGCCCGAAGTTGCCAGGAACTGGGGGTTGGGCTGAACTGGCAGAGTACATAGGGTTTTTAGGACAATGAAAACACTCTGTATAATACATTATAGTTTCATTCAAACTACAGGCATAAATTCACACATGCATATATGCATTTATTAATTTATTATTGATTTATACGCATGTTATACTTGTATGTGTATGTTGCATATATGTGTGTCATACTCTATATCATACAGTATCGTTTTCTACAAATCCATAGACTAAACAAAACTAATAATGAACCATAATATAAACTATGGACTCTGGGCGACTATGTGTCAATGTAGTTTCATCAGTTGTAACAAATGTACCACTCTGGAGGGAGACCTTGATAAGGACGGAGGTAGTCCATGTGTAGGGGCAGAAGATAAATGGGAAATCTCTTAATTTTGCTGTGAGTCTAATCCTTTTCTGAAAAGCAAGTTTATGCAAATAAACTAATAGGGACTCTATTCAGGAGGTGTTAGTATGGGTTAATCTCACATTATTTTCCTATTTTTATTTTAATTATACAAACTTATGCAATGGACTTTATTACTTTCATAATAGCAAACATTTAAGACTATTTAATTATAACTTGAAACAGATTCATTAAATACCATCTTCTGTGAGTGGGATGGTGTGGGGTGGAATTAGTCTTATTAGAAATCAAGTACTCAGGAAAATTCCATTTTTCATTATTCACCAAGCAATTAAAATCCTCAAATTGAGCATATACAATGATAAATTAAACTTTTATTTTTAAGATTTATTTTATTTATACAAGAGCCGGGGTACAGGACAGAGGCTTGGGAGCATGAGAGGATACACCAGAGACAGAGTGGGGAACAGAACAGGCAGACTGATGAAATACACTGCTAAGGGGAGCAGCGGGCTAGACAGGAGAGGTCTGCTTGCCATGTGGGTTGTTCTGAGGCCGGCGGGGATCTAACCGGCACTGCAGAGGCTGTGGACAGCTTCACAGCCCTGCGTTCAACCAGCTGCACCACAAGGGAGGCCCGATAAATTAAGCTTTTAAAATTATTTTGCATCAAGAATCTAGAAATACCATTCATAAATCCAAAAGTCTACAGTGAAAATAAAAAGAAAAATCATACTTGTCTGTAATTATTTTAATTAATTTTAAAACACAATGTCATAATTTCTAATAAAAAAAAGGTGGATAATACATGCCAAGACCCTCAAAAGAAACAGTTCAGGTTTAGAAATTGTCATAAACTCATGTTGCTCAGAATCTCCAATACCACCTGCTTATGAACTGGACTCCAACCAACGCAAATGGAGGCTAGAGGCAGTGTTGTCATCAGTCATGGAAAAAAGAAGGTCATAGTGTGGATAAGATCATGGGTTTTAAACTATGATAGACCTATCCTGTTAACTGTGTTACCTTGGGCAACTCTACCTCACTAAGATTTGCTTTTTTCATCCTAAATTAGGTTAATTATATCCTTCAGAAAAGACTTCTATGAGAATTAAATGTGCTAATTCAATATGCACAGAATGCCATTGTGTCTGGCACAGTATTTATGTCAAATCTGTAATAGGTAGTAGGAGTAATAGTCATGATTGGGGTAACCAGAGGGCCTTGAGTTCCTAAGCAGTGCACTCTATTAGCTGATACTCCACTTTCTCACCCAAAATGATGCTATTTCACTTTCTGATTCAACAGCTTACTGCCTTGGGGATGCCAACTTGGCTCCAAGTTCTGCTGTATTTCAGATTTTCAAACTCTAGTAGAAATTCTTCATATGAGCAAGAATGTATGTTGTGTATTCACACTCTCCTCTGCTTGTTCCCCTTTGGCCATTACACCAGGCTCAGGGTAGGAACTGGGTTCTTAGGAGCTTTGCATATAATAGTGAGTGTGTATATAATATATATGTGTGTGTATATAGTATACATGTATATAATATACACATGTATATTATATAATTTGTAGACAGTGACATATTACAGCCTGCTATGAGCTAAAATGTAGAGCTACTTCCAGTGTTAGAGGAACACAAAGTTAAAACATGGTATCTGCCTATGGGAACAGAACAACACTTCATGAACAGACATGGAATTTGAGTTACTGCTTAAAAGACTCTATGCTGGTTGTCTCTGCAGAGCCCAGACTACTCCAAACTCCCCTCCACTGCCCTATGTCCTGTTTTCATCTCATCCATCACAGTGTCAATGATCTCCATTCCAACCCTCAAATCTCTAGCTAATTTAGTGACTTAAGTGATGACATAAATGTTGGTAACATAAGTTACCTCCACTGCCATGTGGAATAAGATCTAAAGGAAACTTAGCTAATAAATAGGCAGGAACAAAAAAGTATGTTGAAATCTAACAGACCAGGGTTTCAATTCCCATTTTGCTACTTATAACCGGTGGGACTTGAGGCAATTTTGGTGAATTCAGTGCTCCTATCTGTACAATAAGACTAAGAGAAATCACCTGCAAAAGAATTGTGAGAATCACATAAACTCATCTGGAAATGAATCACTCAATAACATTTCATCCCCTCATTCCATCATCAAATCAAAGGAATGATTGCAAGGGTGAAGGTTTAGAAGCATAGATGAAGAACAGGGTACAAATAAATTCCCTTTAAGTTTGGGGTTCAGTGTTTGATACATCGCAGTGAGTGGGCATGCACCCACACCCACACCCACACCCAAATCATCACCTTCCATATTCTTCACGTAGCCTCACAACTGCTTTCTCTCTGATTCCACTTTTGCTACCTCTCCTGGCACCCTCATCTTCACATCAACTTTACAAAAGCTCTTCATTTAACTCCCTTTGCACTAGGAATTAAATTTATCCTCCAAGGCTTCACACGATCTGTCTCTGTCTTCCTTTCCCATTCACCCTCTACTCTTCTCCCCAAACTTAACTCTACTCCCAGCACACTGTGCTGCAATTCAAGTGTATATGAATGTAATAGGGTGCATCTGCATGGGCTGAGGGAGATAGGACGGTATATATCGGTAAAAACCATGAGCCCTATACTTTTCTAAGTATTTTTGTGCATGAACTTATTTAATCCTTTCAATCACCCTATAAGCAAAATACTATTATTCCTATTTTGCACATGAGGAAACTATGGCACAAAGAGGTGAGGCTTACATAATTAGCAAGTGGCAGAGTCAGGCCTCCAAGCCTTTTGCAAGGGCTTTTGCAAGGCTGTTCCTGCCTCGTCCATGCTCAGATACTCAGCTCAGTCAGCCACTTGCCCTTCCCTTCATGAGTTCCTCCCATTAGTCAGTCTCCCTCAAAGTGCCCTGCCCCTTCATCACACACCTCCAAGCTGGACTTTGTACTTATCTGACTATTGTCTAGCTATGAGCTTGACAGTGCATTCCATGAGGTCAGGAATCAGATGTGCATTAATCCAGATTTCAGCACTGGACTCCAAAATTCTGCTGTCCAGAAATACCTGTGAAGTGACTTAGTGTCTAGGGAAGTAGCTTTGTAACAGGGTGATCCTGCCTATTGTCTCTGACTTCCTGTCTCATGATCAGCCCCCAGTTTGTAAGAACCAGCAGCCCATTTGCACT